AGAATGCTTTTCCAGAACTGGTTTGGCTTTTTTTTAGATTTTTTTTGGCAAAGTCTAATCTTTTCTATTCTTCGGGCTTATTTGCTCTCATGAAGTCCTCTCTTGATTGTAGACTTTGACAATGATACGCCCATCTCCTGGAGAGTGTCCTTCACTTGTCTGGATGTTGTGAATGGGTTTTTCTTTACCATAGAGAGGACCCTGCGATTATCCACCACTGTTGTCTTCCGTGGACATCCATGCCTTTTTATGTTGCTGAGCTCACCAGTGCATTCCTCATTCCTTAGAATGTACCAAACTGTTGATTTGGCCACTCCTAAATGTTGCTGCTATCTCTCTGATGGATTTGGGTTTTTTTTTTTTTTTTTTTTTTTTTGAAGCCTTACAAATGGCCTTTGAATGCATGATGTAGGTTCACAGCAATAGATGCCAAATGCACTTAGAATCAACTCCAGACCTTTTACCTGTTTAACAGACGAACAAATAATGAAGGAGTTGCCCACACCTGGCCATGAAAAAGCTTTTGATTAAATTGTCCAATTGCTTTTGGTCCCTTAAAAAGGGGGGATGGCTATTCTTAAGAGCTGTAATTCCCAAACCCTTCCTCCAATTTGGATGTACATACCCTCTAATTTTGTACTTTCAGCCCATATACATTATATAACTATAGCTTGAATATGTTTTGGTAAATACCTGAAAAAACTAAAATTGTGCCCGTGTCCAAGTGTGTGTGTAAGATTTTATTCACTTGGAATTTCTTACATGGATATTTTTGCAACATAAACAGCTGAATCCATTTATTATTCAAGACATTTTTTCCTTCATATTAGGCAAGTTAAAAAAACAAATGTTAGGCCTAAAGATTATTTACATCCCACAAACATTATTTTCTAAATACAGAGACCCTGGAGAATATTATGGTGGCAGTTGCAGTTTTTGACACATATTATACAGTATTTACAGTTGCAAGAAAAAGTATGTGAACCCCTTGGGAGTACGTGGAGTTTTGCATGAATTGGGCATAAAATGTGCTCTGAACGTCATCTAAGTCACAACAATAGAAGAACACAGTCTGCTGAACATAATACTACACAAACATTAGATGTTGCCATGGTTTAATTGCACATAACATGGAAACTTTCACAGTGCAGGGAGGAAAAAGTATGTGAGGCCCTAGCGTAATGACTTCTCCCAGAGCTAATTGGAGCCAGGAGTGAGCCAACCTTGACTCCAATCAGTGTGATGATATTGGATGTATTGCTGACAGCTGTCCTGCCCTTAACAAACACACACCTGTTTTGGGTTTACTGGTTTCAAGAAGCACTGTCTGATGTGAACCATGCCTCGCAGAAAAGAGCTCTCAGAAGACCTACGATCAAGAATTGTTGACTTGCATGAAGCTGGAAAGGGTTACAAAAGTATCTCCAAGCCTTGATGTTCATGTGTCCACGGTAAGACAGACTGTCTACAAATGGAGAAAGTTTAGCACTGTTGCTACTCTCCCTAGGCGTAGTCGTCCTGTAAAAATGACTGCAAGAGCACAGCGCAGAATGCTGCATGAGGTAAAGAAGAATCCCAGAGTGTCAGCTAAAGACCTACAGAAATCTCTGGCACATGCTAACATTTTTGTTGACACATCTACAAAAAGGAAAACATTAAACAAGAATGGAGTACATGGGAGGACACCACGGAGAAAGCAATTGCTGTCCAAAAAGAATATTGCAGCACGTTTGAAGTTTGCAAAAGAGCACCTGGATGTTCCACAGCACTACTGGCAAAATATGCTGTGGACGGACGAAAACCAAGATTGAGTTGTTTGGGAAGAACACACAACACTATGTGTGGAGAAAAAAAAGGCACAGCACACCAACATCAAAACCTCATCCCCACTGTAAAACATGGCGGAGGGAGCATCATGGTTTGGGGCTGCTTTGCTGCCTCAGGGCCTGGACGGATTGTTGTCATTGATGGGAAAATGAATTCCAGAGTTTATCAAGACATTTTGCAGGAAAACGTACGACCATCTGTCCGCCAACTGAAGCTCCGCAGAGGATGGGTGATGCAACAGGACAATGACCCAAAGCCTACAAGTAATTCAACAAAACAATGGCTGCAACAGCACAGAATACGCCTTCTGAAGTGGCCCAGTCAGAGTCCTGACCTCAACCCGATTGAAATGCTGTGGCATGACCTTAAGAGAGCGATTCACACCAGACATCCCAAGAATATTGCTACACTGAAACAGTTTTTTTGAAGAGGAGTGGTCCAACATTACTCCAGATCGTTGTGCAAGTCCAAAGGTTCACATACTTTTTCCTCCCTGCACGGTGAATGTTTACATGTTATGTGCAATTAAACCATGGCAACATCTAATGTTTGTGTAGTATTATGTTCAGCAGACGGTGTTCTTCTATTGTTGTGACTTAGATGACGTTCAGAGCACATTTTATGCCAAATTCATGCAAAACTCCACGTAATCCCAAGGGGTTCACATACTTTTTCTTGCAACTGTATATAGCGCCAACAGTTTGCTCAGCAGTGCACATTACAATGGGAGACAATACAGGAGACCGTACAATAACATTACAATGCGATACACGAGGGGTTCGAGGGCCCTGCTCCTTGGAGCTTACAATCTAGGAGGGAGGGGATAGTGGTACGGGAGGAATAGCTGTGGGGGATGGGAGTGGTAGGAAGAGTGGAGGAGATCGGCAATTAGCTGAGGGCGGGGTAGGCTTCCCTGAAGAGGTGGGTTTTCAGGGTGCGCCTAAAGGAGAGGAGAGTAGGTGATAGTCTGATGGATTGGGGTAGGGAGTGCCAGAGGATGGGGGAAGACCTGGAGAAGTTCCTGGAGATGGGCATGGGAGGAGGAGACCAAGCAACTAGAGAGCAGGAGGTCTTGTGAAGAGCGGAGAGTACGTTTGGGTGGTATTTGGATATCAGGTCGGTGATGTAGTTTGGGGCAGTGTTATGGACAGCTTTGTACATCAGTGTTAGCATTTTGAATTTGATTCGTTGGGCAATCGGAAGCCAGTGGACGGATTGGCAGAGGGGGGTGGCGGATACGGAGCGGTTAGTAAGGTGGAGGAATCTGGCCACAGTATTCAGACTGATAGACTGAAGCAGGGATAGCCTGTGGTGAGGTAGGCCAGTGAGGAGGGAGTTACAGTAGTCAAGTCATGATATAAGGGAGTGAATGAGTTGCTTAGTAGTTTCCGGGGTTAGGAACAGACGTATTTTGGAGATGTTGCAGAGGTGGAGTCTACATGAGTTTGTCAGCAATTGGACCTGGGGCTGGAAGGACAGATTGGAGTCTAGGCTGATGCCTAGTACTCTGGCTTGTGGGGTGGGACTGATGGTGGCATTGTTGGACGTGATGGAGAGGTCGGGGGGGGGGGGGCTGGGGGGGGAAAACTAGGAGCTCGGTTTTGGAAAGGTTCAGTTTGAGGAAGTGAGTGACATCCAATCAGATATGTCATTCAGTAGGCTAGTGATTCGGGCGGAGACTGAAGGGGTGAGGTGAGGGGTAGAGACATAGATTTGCATGTCGTCGGCATAGAGATGGTAGTTGAAGCCGTGAGAGTGTATCAGTAGGCCAAAGGAGGAGGTGTAGATGGAGAAGAGAAGGGGCCCGAGGACAGAATCTTGAGGGACCCCAACAGAGGGGGAGTGAGGGGGAGGTGGCAGCGCTAAAGGTAACACTAAAGGAGCGCCGTGATAGATAGGAAGAAAGCCAGGAGAGAGCAGAGTCTCTGAGGCCAAGAGAGTGTAGTTTTTTTGAGGAGGAGGGGGTGGTCGACTGTGTTGAAAGCCGCAAAGAGATTGAGGAGTAGGAGCACTGAATAGTGGCCATTAGCTTTGGCGGTTAGCAGGTCGTTGGTGAGTTTGAGTAGGGCAGTTTCGGTGGAGTGTAGGGAACGGAAGCCAGACTGTAGGGGATCAAGGAAGTTGTTTTCGTTGAGGTGGGAGCTTAGGCGATTATAGCCTAAGCACTCAAGGAGTTTGGATGTAAATGGCAGCAGGGAGATGGGTCTAAGGTTGTTCAGGTCGGTGGGATCCAGGGAGCATCTGCTAATCAAATGTAAATTTTCAGAAAAAAAAAAAAAAAAAAAAAAAAAAACCTCAAAATTATTCTACTGCACATAAAACACAATGCCCTATTTTGGCAGAACATAAAAGATGAGGTTGCGCTGAGTAAACAGGTAGCAAACACACCTTGGCCTAAAATTGCATATGCCCATGAAAAGATGAAAACCTATGGTACCCAAAACTGTCCATAGGTGAAACTTTAAAGTGGAAATAAAATTGCCCTTTTCTTCCATCTGGAGGAGGGGCTTTTTCAACTAAGCCCTCCTGCCTACATGATGGTAGATGGACTCCAGGAAGTAAACGCAACATGAATCAATCGCCCTTACTAAAGATGGCCACAACTAGAAATGCTAAAGGGGGTGTTTTCCAAAGTGATTTAATAAAATATGGGGGAGACATGGATAGATGGCTGAATTTGCCTTGAATATTAAAAATTAATCAAATAGCATCTTCAGTTTGTCAAGTTCAGATAGAGTTTTAATGCCGCTTTTAAAGCTCAGCAGTTAGCAATAACTTTGAATGATGCCCCTAGAATTATTGCTCTTACCCCCAAGTGCACAGCACAGGTTTATGTTCGTATGTGCATGTATGTGGAATGGGGTGACTTTAAAACATTTTGATGTATTTTCTTTTTTTAAATTGATCATACCTGGCTCTAATTTTTAGGTTGTTTTTCTTTTATATTTACCTAACTTTATTGCAATCATATTGCAGGAGGAAGTGATGTAAACCTTGTTTTAGTAAAACAGATGTGAAAAGTGAAACAAAGTTTTACTATAGACATCCGTCCTCCATATTTCTAGTAGTGTTGCAACAAAACTAAAAATCACATGTTTAAATGACATAGAAAAAACAAGGAAGGGTGATAAAAAAAAAGACATCCATTACAAACGGATTTCACATCTCACTTCTCTCGGTAGTGCTTTCTGTCTGAGTAGCTGGAGGTGGAGCAGGTGCAACATTAGCAGCTAGCTGAGAGGCCATCTTTTCATTCTGAGCTTTTCTGACAAGAGCTGCTAGTGGGTGGTCTGGATCAATCACCTTTAAGGGCTGAAAAGAAAAAAAAAAAAAAAAAAAAAGTCTAGATAAAAGTGCTACTTTTCAAAAAATAATGTTGTGAAATGAAAAAAATGTGAAATAAAAAATTAGGGGAAAAACAGCAATGAAATGCCAATCAAGGGCAAACCAAATAACCAAAAATATATTTCAAGAAAATAAAAATCAGAATATGAAACATTGAGCTATTATTTACTGTACGTAAAATTTCAGTTGAGCAATGAGCTGCATCCTGCAGACATAGCTCACTGCTCAGAACTACTACTTCACTGAAACAGGCTTTTTTTCAACAAAAGACATACTTCATTTACCTAGGAACAGAATCACTTATCAGCCAAAATGTAATCCCATAAATATAATACAGGTCCACCTGGGTAGATGCAGCAATCTAATGCTTTATCTGACACTCACAGACTTCAAGACTGAGGACTGAGTGATCAAATACCGCTGATAACTCAGTTCTCAGTGTTCCGTGAACAGAACTGTTGACTCTCTGCTCTGTCCCTCCAGAGCAAACTGGACTACTGGGCTGTGGGGGAGCAGCTGGCTCAGGCTCTCAGCAGATCACCAAGAGGCTGAGCCAAGTGCCAGCCTAGGCTTCTGGCTGGATCCTGACCATATGGTCAGGATCTTTTCAGAGCCTGGACCGCCTCTGTGACATCAGCCGACAGCGGGCTTTAGCCTGCTGATGGCTTAAAAACGGGCCAAAGGAGTGCAGAATAAACTGCACTTCTGTGATCCACAGAAGTAGCTTTAGCTATACTTTCCCTTTAATTGCAGAGGGATTGCACAGCAATGACCTTAATATCCAGGATGCAGCCCAATCACCTGAAAACTTCTGCACAGCAAGTCTTCACTTAGTCTTAGTCATGCTTGTGTGTTACAACCCTGTAGACGTCTAACACAACCTCTTACATAGTTAGTCTGGCTGAAAAAAGTCCATCCAGTTCAACCATTAAAAAAAAAAAAAAAAAAGTTATAATCCTATACCCACAGCTGATCCAGAGGAAGGCAAAAAAAAAAAAAAAAAAACAACCCAGCAAAGCATTACCTAATTTGCCCCTGCAGGGGCAGAAAAAAATACTTCTTGATCCCCTGAGAGGCAATCGGATATTCCCTTCAACTTTACCTATAAATGTTAGTATCCTGTTATATTATGTGCGTCTAGGAAAGACTCAAGGCCTTTTTTAAAGAAATCCACTGAGCTGACCAGAACCAACTCTTGAGGGAGTCTATTCCACATTTTTACAGCTCTCACTGTGAAGAGAACTTTCTGTGTTTGGAGATTAAATTGTGTTTCCTCCAGACATAAAGAGTGCCCCCTTGTCCTCTGTGATGACCTCAGGGTGAATAACTCTACACCGAGTTCACTATATGAACCACTGATGTATTTATACATGTTGATCATATCCCCCTTAATCTCTTCTCAAGAGAATAAATTCAATTTCTCTAATCTCTCCTCATAGCTGAGCTCCTCCATGCCTCGTATCAGTTTGGTTGCCCTTCTCTGTACTTTCTCCAACGTTCTTTTTGTGAATTAGTGCCCAAATCTGAACTGCATATTCCAGATGAGGTATAACTAATGATTTGTACAGGGATAAAATTATCTCTCTCTGGAGTCTACACCTCTTTTAATACAAGACAATTTTGCTCGCTTTAGAAACCGCAGCTTGGCATTGCATGCCATTATTAAGCTTGTGATCTACCAGAACTCCCAGATCCTTCTCCACCATTGATTCCCCCAGTTGTACTCCCCCTAGTATGTATGATGCACGCATATTCTTAGCCCCCAAGTGCATACTCTTACATTTATTAACATTTAAACCTCATTTGCCACATAGCCCAAGTGCCTCTACTATGGGGGCTCTTAAAAATGGAAAGTTAGGAACTACAGAATACTGGGGTGCCGTGACGAGGCTCTGTAGCTTATGCATGTATTTAGCGGTATGCGTTAAAAACAGGGGTTTAGTCAGCACACATTTGCAACAGGTTAATTCAGTTTGTTTGCAGGCAGGCTGGCAAGTTAGAGCTGGGAATTTTCCTGTTTTTTGACATGCGTTGCCCTTCCATGTGCTCCTTGTTGTGAAGGCCTGTTATAGACTGGGACAGTGGCCATTTTTTGTACTGTTGAATTGTTGGTCGAGGGGGTGCACTGGACACCTTAGCTGCCACTGTGCTACATGCTGGGTGTCCAGTGTGCTCCTGTACCTTTAAGGAGGGGTGGGCTCCCTCAGTCTATCCATTAAATACATGTGCCTCTACTATGGGGGGACTCTTAAAATTGGAGAGTTAGGAACTACAGAATACTGGGGTGCCGTGACGAGGCTCTGTAGCTTACACATGTATTTGCAAATGTGTGCTAAATAAACCCGTTCTTAACGCATACTGTTAGACAGGTTAATTTGGTTTGCTTGCAGGCTGGTTGGCAAGTTAGAGCTGGGAATTTTTCTTTTTTGTTTGACATGCGGCGCCCTTCCATGTGCTCCTTGCTATGAAGGTCAGTTATAGACTGGGGCAGTGGCCATTTTTTGTAGTTGCCCAATTAAACAGTGCATTGAGGTCAGCTTGTAACATCCTGTAAGGACATTATTCCCTATATCGTTTATAAATATATTAAAAGGTAAGGGTCCCAACACTGAACCTTGGGGTACACCAATGACAACCCTAGACCATGCAGAGTATGAATCATTAACCACTACTCTTTGAATACAATCTTTTAGACAGTTTTCTACCCATTTACATACAGATTTTTCCAAGCCCGTAGACTTTACCTTACACATTAGCCGTGTGTGGGGATCTGTGTCAAATGCTTTTGCAAAATCCAAGTATATCACATCCACAGCCACCCCTCTGTCCAAGGTTTTGCTCACCTCCTCATAAAAAGAAATTAGATTTGTTTGACAACTTCTGTCTTTCATGAATTCATGCTGTCTGTTGCTTAAAATATTTTTTTCCAGCAAGACCTCATCTATGTGGTCTTTTATTAAACTCTCCAGTATCTTTCCAAATATAGAAGTTAAACTAACTCTTGCTCCCATAGGTTGTCACAGCAGGGGTATGGAAATTTTTTTAAAAACGTCTTGTCCAGGGTCTAAATTGGTGTCCCAATCTACTTGTCCTGATAAAAATAAATTTTAACCAAAACCATATTTAATTCTGAGGTGCTTTATGGAATGTCGGGGGATTTTAAAAACAAAAGGGGCTTTATGGCAACTTAAATGTTTAATATTTTTAACAATATGCTGTATATCTCTCCTCCTCCCCTCCGTCACCAGCACAGTACCTGGGGTCTAGCAGGGCGGGGGAGAGACCTTGCAGTGTAAGGAGCACCGATTGGCTGCTAGTCAGGAAAAGGGTGTGTCGGACTTTATCCTTTTCTGCTGCCAGAGCCATTTTACGGTTTTTGCATACGTTTCAAAAATCATTTAAGGCCTGAAGATTACACAAACCTCAAACATGATATATTTTCTGAAAGCAGAGGCCCTAGAGAATGAAATAGTTCCAATTTTTTATGAGACACGATATCACAAAGGTCCAGGAAACGCAAAACTTCAGTAAAAAATATACAAGTTAATTTTAGGGCACAAAAAGCAATACATTATCCAATTTTTTTTTTATAAAATATAAAAGTCGAGGTTGCATCGAGCAAATAGATATCCAACATGTCAAACCTAAATTTGCGTGCGCTCGTGAAACGGCAACAAACTTTAGTACCCTATATTTTCTATAGGTGCCGGTTTTAAATCTTCTTATAGGTCATCAGTTTAGCGTTACGGAGGAGGTCTGGTGCTAGAATTATTGCTCTTGCTCTGGTGTGCGCAGCGATATGCAACGTGTATCACAATAATCGTTTTCATGTGTAGGTGCCCCAGCGCGTGCTTTTACGTTTGTGCGTGCATACATATGTGGGGGGGGGTGGTTATATGCTATGGTGCTACTTACATTTTTTTTTTTTGGTCATACAGGGGACAAAAAGTCCCCTATGTGATGATTTTTGGCGACATGCTATCTTTAAAGGAAAATGTCACCAGCACACAGAGGATCACCAATATTGGTCCAAAAGTTTACTGAACGCTCACATAGTTACAGCAAGGCAACATTTCGGAGTCTCGCAGGACCCCTTCATCAGGCATGTGACTAATGTTCTCTTTTTTGAGACATCCTGGCTCTAAAAGACTCCGGATGTCTCCTCTGTGCTCCCCTGAATGTAATGCAGTGCACATCACAATGTATTATATTCTTTCCTGGCTTTGATAGCCGGGAATCTGACAATGGGGACCCAGAAGTGATCAGGGCAAGAAGGGGAGGGGAGCGGACTTATCCGCTCTCATCCCTCCTCTATAACCGCATTGCAACATACCGCCGGCACCCACTGAACCAGTCCCGGGCCCGTTGATGGGCAAACGGAACATGGGACATATAGCGGGCGAGGGGCAGCAGCAGCTGGCACTGTAGGCTGTGTGGAAGCAATCAGTGGCAGCGCTGCTGCCTGAATGCTTTTCACCTGACAGGTGGGCCCTGCTGCTTGCCCGCAGCAGGGCTAAAGGCAAAAAAAAAAAAAAAAAAAAAAAAAAAAAAAAAAAACCACCTACCTACCCAGCGCCCGGAACTATATGTCCCGGGTGTCGGCCAACATGAATTGCACATCCCTGCACAGACTTCCATGACAAAATATCATGATCTGCATTTCAGTTTATTTTATTTCAATTTAAACTAGAATTTTCAATTTAATTGCATTTTTTAAAAATTAAATAAAGTGCTTTTCATATGTACCTTTGTGAGCTCTTCAAGCCTACTACATCGCTTTGAGGCAAACAGACTTGGATGTAAGTAATCACTGTCTTCATCATCATCGTCATCATCCTCCTCATCGACATTATCTGTGCTTACCACAGTTTCTAGAAGGACAAATTGAAATGGGTCATTATTGACAGTAAATCATCAATGTTCTCTCTAACCATTTGACGCCCGGCCAATAGCCGTATGGCGCCCTGAAAAATGTACTAGCTTTCCGGGAGGCCGCCATAAGGCGTCCTCCCGCACATGCGCAGTTCGCGCGCTTGCAGAGCCACGCGATCTGTCAATGGCCGTGTACCTCGGACACGGCCGATGACAGATCTGAGTACCGGCCCCCGTTGCCGGTACCATGTGACCAATCACCAATCACAGCAGGTCACATGACAGTTGTATACAATGGATGGCTTCATTCATGCCATCCATTGTATACTAGTGTCTAGCTGTGAATGGTCACAGCTAATCACATGCACATGTCATCTGATTAGCTGTGGCCAAATCACAGCAAAGCACAAAAAAAAAAAAAAAAAAAAAAAAAAAAAAAACCCCTGAATGAATCGATGTCATTCAGGTAAATGCTTGCTTACAGCAAAGTAATTCTTTGCTATAAGCAAATTGTGTAAAAAAAAAAAAAAAAAAAAAATACTGATCACTTCCTCAAAGTAGTACAATGTTACTATGGCAACACTGTACTACTTTGGACATAGTGAAATATGAAAAAAAAAAAAAATCTTAAAAAAAAGAAAAGTAATAAAAAATAAAAAAAATAAATACATTTTTTTTTTTTCCCCCCACACTGTCACCAGTCAGTGTCCCTGATCACCGCCATGCCAGTTATATGACACTGTACTGCACTGGTGACAGTATGTAAAAAAAAAAAAATTGTGAATAAAATTTTTATTTTTTCATTTTCCAAAAAATGACAAAAAAAAAATACAACTTCAAAAAACTCGCCATTCCTCTTATGAAGTACGTTGGGCTGTCTACTTTGCAAAAAGGGATCATTTGGGGGATCTGTACTATTATGACATTCGTGGACCTCAAGAAATTAGATTGGCTGTCAGTACTTCAGGATTGATCAATATTCAGATCTATACCATAGTTTGTAGGAAGGTTAAAGAGTTCACAAACTATAAAAATACATCCTAATTTGGGTTATTTTCACCAAAGACATGTAGTAGAATACATCGCGGCCTAAATTTATGAAGAACAACTATTTATTTGCAAACTTTTATAACAGAAACAAAGAAAAACGTGTTTTATTTCAAAATTTTTCGGTCTTTTTTTTTGTGTTAATTTAGCAAAAAATAAAAACCCCAGCGATGATTAAATACCAAAAGAAAGCTCTAGTTGTGTGAAGAAAATGATAAAATTTTAGTTTGGGTACAATGTTGTATGACCGCGCAATTGTCAAAGTGTGAGAGCGCTGAAACCTGAAAAATAGCCTGGGCAGGAAGGTGTAAAATTGCCCGGTATTGAATTGGTTAAATACAATAGCTTAGAAATAAAATGTAAAAATTACAGGCAGGTTTTAAATACATAGAGCAAAACTTGATAATGCTGGAATTATTAGCGGTTTTGGGCTTTTGGACAAATGATGCATAAAAACTGAACCAAGTGTTATATACCAACATCAAAGAGAAAAAAAAAAAAAAAAACCTTCAGAATTCTTGCTGCTTAAACAAGAAGGGTTTTTTCCCCCCCACAGGTGTCAGTTTCATCATGTGTTTCTGCTAAGAAAAAACAAACAATGAATACTGATTTAGAATCAGCAGTTTGAGCATCCGTTCAGATCCATCTAAAGGGAATAGGACGAGGCATTGATGATAATCCGATTACATCCACAAACCCGTAGAAATAAATTGCTGTTTTACACTCGAAAACAGACAGATACAAATGGATGAAAGGAACACACATTGCTCCTATTCAGGGGTGAGGATACATTGTCACTCAGCTTACAGTAAACTTGGCTTCAAATCTAAGATGTAGCAAACTGTGCAAGTGTTTGGGTGGCACTTTTCAAGGGCCTTGAACGCAGTACTTAAACAGATTATAGGCACCAATAGTAACGCACATTAGGGCCACTTTCACACAGTTGTAAAGTTCAGCATATCGGCGTACAGTGTAAAATATGTCTGATACTGTGTGGCTCGCGTTCCTAGGCTGCAGCATACTTTTGCCCATGGAAATGCATATCATAAAATGCTGTGCACATATATGTGCTGGCACTGGCATCTATTCATGCATGTGCATAAATTTTACATTTTGAAAAATCCGCCTATACACCTGCAAGTGCACACACCAGTGGTTATATATGTGTAGTAGTTTTCTGTAATTCATTGCTTTGGGCAAAAATACACTGCAGTTGTGACTCTCAGGCACCATAACAGATGTATTTTACACTTTACGCCCATACACTGTACTTTAATGACCCTGTGCAAAAGGCCTAAAGAAACCTATGCTTATCAAAACAAAGACTTCCCTTAAAGTGGTTCTAATTATATATATTTTTTTTTAACTAAAATACTTAGCTGGGACAAAGACTCTCCTTGAGCCGAGTCCAGTCTCTCTTAATGATCCCTTTCTGAGAGAGAGAGAGAGAGAGAGAGAGAGAGAGAGAGAGAGAGAGAGAGAGAGAGAGAGAGAGAGTGTGTGTGTGTGTGTGTGTGTGTGTACATATACACAAACTCACTCTCTGAAGAGATGCTGGTAGGTGAATTGGCTCCTGTCTAAATTGGCCCTAGTATGTGTAAGTATGAATGTGAGTTAGGGACCTTAGACTGTACGCCCCTTGAGTATTAGGGACTGATGTGATATCTATCCATCTCTGTAGATTATATATCGGTGCCAATGGCATAATTCACACAAGTTCAGTCAGCTACAGTGCATACAGCATTTTTCTGCACAGAACTGTAGTGGAGCGTGGCAAAACGTGCCAGATCATATCTAAATGCATCAAAAACATACTGGAAAGCATCACATAAAAAAAAAAAACCCAGGAAACCCTAGGGGGGGGGGGGGGGAAAACACACACAGACACACACACTAGGAAAAATTAAAAAAAGTATCATAAGCTTGGGGTTGGCGGTGCCTAATCCATTTTATTATTATTTGGCTGAGCAACTCCAACATCTTACGGCCTGGCAGGATGGTGGTTATGTCGACACCATTAAGCCGCTCCTAGTGGGTGTTCTATCCAAAGATAATTTGATAGAATGTCTGGAGGCGGGTGAGTTTGGAACTATGTCCCAATACCCTACCTTAGCATTGATTGATAGAATTAGATATATACCACAACTGAATCATGGTCAGTTATTGAAAGATTTTCATACCTTGCAGCTCGAATATGACTTGCCTAAACAGGTTTTTTTTCAGTACCTGCAGCTTGGACATGCTATTTCGGCACAAATCTAAAACCTCTTCATGGTCATTTACTGAACCGGTAGTACTTGAACTATATCCTCAACCACAAGAAAGGGTCAAATATCTTCAATGTACCAATCCATTATGCACAGGGTTTCTAAGGTGATGTCCCTCAATTGTAGAGCACAGTGGTCGGTTGATGTAGATACCATCTCAAACGAAAAATGGTCCACCGTATTAGAATATGTAATTAAAGTCTCTGTCTTCAGCCCAGAAGCTTACCCAACTTTTTATCATTCACCGTACTTACCGCACTCTTCAGCGGTTGTATGTTTGGAGTAGGAGGGGCTCTCCTGTCTGTCCTAGGTGTGAAATGAATAATGGCACCCTTACTCAAATGTTATGGAAATGCCCCAAAATTGGTAAGATATTGGTCTCATATTATAACAATGATTAACAAGAATGGTGTCTTAATTTACCATTAGATCCCAAGATCTGCCTATTGGGAGCTATAGATGAGGAGTTATATACTCCACATGTCTGTACAGCCATCCTCTGAGTGCTGTTTGTTGCTCGGAAGCTTATAGCTCAGAAATGGTTGTCTCGCACCCCTCCTTCCCATATCCAATGGATTAAAGCTGTTAATGATACCCTAATTAGAGAGAAACTAGTTTATCAACATAGAGGATGTGACAGCAAAAATAGGACCATTTGGGATGCCTGGTTGGGTACACTGGGATTAGTTAAGGATAGACTGTTAAGTGGCGAAGTCTCTTCAGGTCTGCTTTGATATAACTAGTGTACTATCAGTTCCTGAATAGGTATTGGGGACATATACATATTTGCTAAAAAATTTGCTTATGGCAAGCACTGAACTTTAATTTACTGCATTACCTATGGATAGGCTGAGGCAGCTTGACTTTTTGATTTTTTGAGTTTAGCTCAGTGGAAGACCGGTTTGCTTAGATATTTTTGTTTTGTATTTTGTGCTTATTCTTTTTGCCTTCTTTCTGAAGTTTTAAAAAAAAAAAAAAAAAAAAAAAAAAAAAAAAAAAAGGAAGAAGCATTGTATAGAAAATGTTGTGGTTTGAGATCTGTACTTATATCTTTTGTATACATGGCTATGTACCCCTTTTGTATTACAAAGCTGTGAACTATTGTTACAAACACTACACCCTATTGTAGATTGGGGTTATAGGATTGTATGTGGACATGGATCCAAAAAACTTCAAAAAAAAAAAAAAAAAATCACAAACATGCATACAGAAACACATCTGGGGTGATTTATAGTGATATCAACTATAAGCAAAAACGTATCCGGAAAGCATCCGGTGTACGTTTTTATGGTGTAAACCAGCCCTAAAAAGTAAAGCAAGGAAGCGGCTATCTTAGCCTCTGTTCAACAGCTGCAATATTGCTGCACATGTGATCAGTTGGGAGCACAAGCAACTGTAACAGAGCTCATGCATGACTTGAATGTAACTCTTTTGGGGAATTTAAAGTGGATGTAAACCTCTGACACGAAATGTGAACAAAGCTTATCCCGCTATAGTGTGTGCGTGTCTCAATCCAGAGTACCAAGTGTCACTTCTGTCTGTTTCTTTGTTCCTCTGCTATCAGCATGAGTCACTTCTGAGTCACTTCTGAAGAGTTTTCCTGACACCAAGAGGAAAAAGGTGATAGGGAAGTCACAGCCTGTGATTGACAGCCTCAGCTCTGCTCCTGTGTGCAGGGGAGTATGTCCCTTCCCTCCAAATCAGTTCTCAGAGCTCTCCCTGCACTGAAGTATAACTTTCAGAACTGAGAGATCCTGTGTAAATTCTGCACTCTGAACGGATGTAGGGGCATCAGGTCTTATAAACAGGTACAACTTATGTAGGGAGGATTTGTTTAATCTTTGTGTAGCCCCTAAGGCCAGTCATTTCACTGGGTATATGTAAGTGTTCACAACCAAAAATTAACCCCAAACCCTTAGTTTCCCTTCAAGCATATTTTTGCAGTTTCCAATTTTTAAATGGGAATTTGTACTCAGCTTTAATTTTTTTTAAGCAAAAGTACCAATTAACCAAGATGTAATGTGAAAAAGAGTGAAGGATTTTAATAAGTTTTAGACCCAAGTCAATGGGCAACTGCAAAGTGCTTTTGAGTGTATCCTGCTTGCATCTGCGACCAGCATACAATGACAGGTGCATACGACCTCCTGTCTACCTGTATCATCCTATTTTTGCAACCCCATAGACTTGTATGTGGAGTGAAGCAGTTCTGAAAGAATAGCACCCATGTTAACAGATCTCTAATATAGTCTTATGATAAACAGCTGTAATTAGACACTAGTTTTCATGATCAGTTCTACTGTAACTGCTTCTAAAAGGGGAATTCCACTTTTAAACTCTGTGCTCCCCAAAGAATTATACTTTGGTGTAAAAGTGGTACACTTGCAGACATAGATAACAGGAGATTATCAGCACAGCAGATAAGCTCAGTGGGACAAGAGGAGTGGGGAGGGTGTTGGGAATTAATCTTTACATTTTGGGTTGAAAAGGTGGAATTGCCCCTTTTTACTTTAAGTTTTCAATAGTCATCAAAAACGTTCATAAACCCCCAAAATAAAAATTACAATGCATGATTACATGTCCCCAAAGAAAAACCCACAAAACATATCCGGTGGGGGAATCATACTTTTATGCTCTTCATTTGTTTTTTCCGCCAGCATAGTGTAGCGTCCCTCCTTCATGGCTCTCAGTATGTGCTTATAGTAGGGGTTGAGGTAGTGGTCAAAACGCAAGAAGTCAAACTGTGAATTCCGGGCTTGTTTTGCCTTTAACATGATTTCAAACTGAGCACCCTGCTTGCAGACAAAATTTGCTGTGCGTTCAATGATGGCGTGCATTTTTGCTGTAGGCGGCTGTTTAAGAAAGATGGAGAATTTTGTCAACGAGTAGTCAACTTAACCATAATATATAAAAACATGGTATTAAAAGTGAACTTAGCTTTGGATATATTTCTTAGAGATAAATGTATGCATCCTGAACTTAAAATGTAACACTCGCAGGCAATTTACTGCTTCTCAAACAGATCATACTATAAATACCTTCATCTTTCTTCCCCTCAGAAGATAGGTGCCATATTTGTTCGGGCATCAATCAGGGTCACCATCTACAATCATTCCCTTATACCAGGGCTGGACAAATCCCAGTTGCCAAGTCAATATGGTGACTGAAAAAAAATCTCTAGCATTTGGGATCTGTCATCCATATTTCCCTGCTGCATGATACCCAACCCCTTAGATTGGCTTGGTACAGTGCCAGTTGTCAAGTCAATATGGCGACGGAAAAGGAATCTCTAGCACCTTGGATCTGTCACCCATGTTTCTCTGCTGCATGGTACTCAGCCCCGATGACAGCTTGGCACACAGTAATTAGGGGGCAGACTGAGTGCCCAACAGCTATATATCCAGTGAAATTTATGATCAGAACTGGGTAAATATAGGCCTGCCGGTCCGTCATAATCCAAATAAATCTATTATCACATAGCCACAAGAACACATTATATTGTATGTATATTACGATCATTACCATTGCCATTTGTTCATATCAGTCTCAATCTGATTTATTCTTTAAAGTGACACTAAATTATATCCTAAAGCTCCATAAATAATCCATACATATCTACTTACTTTGTAATCTATTTTAATTACAATTTTCTTGCTTTTTATGCCTCCTTGTAACATCCTCCGGGAACCTATCTCCCCACTTCCGTTTGTTCAGAATGAGCAGGCCACATTAGTTGCAGTCATGTGCACTGCTCTATACACACTATAAACCCCATAGTCCTCAGTCAGAAGTAAGATGAGAGGAGGCAGAACCTCAGTTGAGAAACCCTGCTGTTCAGGATTGAGGGCTTAGTTCTGCTTTAAGTTAGGAATATATACTTCAATTTTTTTATTTTTTTTATTTTTTTTTTTAAACAGTGGCACTTTAACCACTTGTCCATTGGCACCATTTATAAATGACAGCTGTAACCAGGGATTTTAAAACACATTCCTGGCTGCTATACATGTTTAGTATCTATTTACTTGTAGCAACCTCACCTTTTATATTTTTCAAAAATATTGTTTATGTGTGCACTTAAATTAACCTTGGTGGAGTGCGCATGCGCAGCCAGCGGGATCGCATGTCCCGGCGATAGTTCTGCACACCCCGGCACCAATAATAGCCTATACACGGGCACCGTAGCAGAGCAGCTGCCAGGACTTCCCCCGGACCTTACCGGACCCTGAGGCACCCTCATCATGCCTAGGAAGGCGGTGGGAAAGAGCCGCGGAGGCGCTCAATTAACGATCCCTGTGGGGAAGGGAGGATCTAAGATGGCGCCCGGCTCGGCGCCCGCGGCCCCTGCTACCTCCTCTGCTACATATAAGGCAGCACCTCTCCCCCAGAGGGGGAAATCGGGCTCTTAATCCCTCACTGGCCAAGATCGGGCCACGGCAGCTTCGCTGGCTGGGGTGAGTGAATCTCTGCTGCCCCCCCCCTAGACACCTTCCAGCCCTGCACTACCCGAGTCCCAGGCTTCGGCCGGCTCCTTAGGCTACGATTCCCCTGCCTCCTCTCCACTGAGTAGTGAGATAGCAGCCATCTTCTCCAGCCAGAACAGTGGCCCAGAACCTGTAGATGACAGCCCTGCTCACTCGCCAGCAATTCCTCCTGATCCGCCACAATACTCCGGTGATGCAACCTTTATAGCTCGGTTCGCTGATTTACTACAACGCGAACTGGATAGAGCTACTTCAAAATTGGCGGCTGACCTTAAACAGGATTCTCAGGAATTGGGCCAACGCCTGGACAGTATTGAGTCTAAGGTGGATGCGACAGTCCATAGTGTATCCCAAAATTCCAACATGATTACCGACTCGCAGGATCGCCTGGCGGAAGCTTACTCAAAAATTGATGATTTGGAAAATCGGGCTAGGCGCTACAATTTCCGCATTCGAGGACTCCGTGAGTCGGTTAAAGATCTCACTAGCTGCGTACAAACCCTCATGCAGTCTGCATTGCCCGATGTTGATCTTCACACTGATTAATCGAATTCATAGAGCATTGATCCCCCCTAGACAAGGTGGGCCTCCTAGGGATGTCATCGTAAAGCCTCACTTTTTCCAGGTCAAGGAAGCGGTAATGAAGTACGGTAGAGAGACTCCGGACCTGGAGTTTGCGAGACATAAGATTCAAATCTTTGTGGGAGTCTCTCCAACCACCATCCAGAAACGGCGCTCTCTTAAGCCGCTACTTTCCCACTTCGTGCAGAGGGAAATCTGGTATCGCTGGGCCTACCCCTTTCACCTACAATTCACATTTAATGGAAAGCCCTATGGGCTCTCTACGTTCCAGGATGTCAAGGACGTATTACTTTAATTGGGCATTATCTCCCGTAGTCCTACATCTCCTTCAGCACAATTGGCTTCTCGACCTCCTCCGCTTTCACCATTGTGGACTACTCCAACTTCTAAGGGGGTCACGGAAATCGCTGAAGACTTCTTGAATTTGCATCTTCTATTTTTTTTTTTTTTTTTTCTGTGATTCCTGATTAGTGGTGGCTTCTCTGTGGCTCCTTGGGAACATTGGCCGCTGCTGCTCCGTTATTGTGGGAGGATTGGCGGGGACCTTGGGGTTACCCCACATCTGCCTGTTGATTGTGGTAACGGAGGGTTCGGTTGTTTTGTCTGTACTAAGTTTTGATATATTATTGATGGGTTACTGTTATTGTTGGTGCCGGGGCATGTCTATGCGCCCTCCTCGTTTGGAAGACTCTTCCCCGAGTTATCTCTGGGTAGATCCATTCCACTACAGGGCTATAGCTCTGTTACTATTGGTACACGGTTTGATTTGTCTTTATTATATTGTGTGTACCACCATTGGTTAATTTGACATGAGGATTTGTATACTCCGAATGTTTCTTCTCTCTCTCTTTTTCCCTCTCCTCCTCCCCAGGTCAGTCAGCTGGCAACATATATGGACTCCTTGGACCATTTTCATGCTCCCAAAGCAGATGGTTTCCATTTTGTATAGTTCCCTGATTTTTGATTAGGTCTTCCCTACGGTCAACTAGCAGAGCTATTCGTCTGCTTTCTCACAACGTTCAGGGGCCCAATTCCCCCTCCAAACGTATAAAGGCCTTTAACTCATACCGCTCTTTTGGGGCGGACATAGTTACTTTGCAGGAGACACATTTGCCCCCTTCATTCTCCCCATAATATGTTCATAAGGATTATCCTGTTACTTTGCTAACGCTACGAAAAAGAAAAGGGGGGGTTGCCCTTTGCTTGTCTCGCCGTTTGTCCTTTACTGAATCTAAAATTATCCAGGACAGGGAGGGGCGGTATCTTCTGGTGAAAGGCCACTTGGGGGGACACTTACTCACTTTTCTAATCTATTACACTCCGAATACCAACCAGGTAGAATTTTTTCAGTCCTTATTAAGCTCTATGGCTAAGGAATTTGAAGGTGATGTTATTTTGGCCGGTGACTCTAATTTAGCATTAGATCAGATTTTGGATCGTTCCCAAACCGCCATGCTTCGGCCCCCTTCTAGGCAGAGCCGTAAGCTGGCCCAACTACTGTATCGTTACGACTTTGTCGATGCTTGGAGAGAAGCTAACCCGACTTCTTGAGATTACTCCCATTATTCTAGGGCCCATAATTGTTTTTCTCGCATCGACCATATATTTCTTCATACACATTCACTCCCCAGACTCCTCACTGCTAAAAATTCTCTCCACGCCTTGGTCTGACCACGACCCAATTTCTATTCAATTGTCCTCCTGGACACTTGGTAAGACGGCTTATTGCTGGCGTCTTAATGACTCCATTTTGGGTAACCCCTCCTATTGTCGGGACATCTCCTCACACTTACAAGTGTACTTTGAACTTAATAAAGCGGAGGATACAAACCCGGCGATTAACTGGGCAGCCCATAAGGCCTCAGTTAGGGGGTTTATTATTCAACGCTCCTCACGAATTAAAAAAGCTCGCAACGACCTGCTAGCCACCAAAACCCAATCCTATACAGACTTGGTTGCTCAGCATAAGCAAAATCCCGGTCCGGACCTGCTGCTTAAACTTGACCAGGCCAGATTGGAACTAAATCTCTGCCTTACTACTACGGCTGACAAACGGTTACGATGGTCTAAATTAATTAAGTAATTTTTTACTTGGAGAGATAGACCTGGCACCTTATTGGCACGCAAGTTGACCCGCAGACATTCCCAGACAGCTCTCCCTAAACTCAGATTGGATAATGGAACGTTATCTCAAGACCCTGGTAAGATCCTTCACAAATGTCATTCTTTTTACACTAAACTATATAGCTCGCCTTAGGGAGATGCTTCTTCCTCTCTCGACGCCTTTTTGAGCTCTGTTCCACTTCCCTCTCTCCAGGATGCTCATAGGGAGTTGATGGAAAGGCCTATCTCGTGCGAAGAAATTGGGAGTGCTATGAAATCCCTTACCCCTCATAAAGCCCCGGGACCAGATGGTCTTCCTCATAACTATTATAAAGTTTTTCCTGATGTCCTGATTCCCCATATGGCTCTCTACTTTAACTATTTACGGGATGGGGTGGCGGGTGTCCCCTGACGAAAACAAGGCATTTATCAGTGACATCCCCAAACCTCTTAAGGACGCTTCAATAGTTTCTAATTATCGGCCTCTCTCCTTAATCAATTGTGATTTAAAGATTCTTACTAAAATCCTGGCCTTACGCCTCCATACATTTTTGGCTCTGTATATTCATGATGATCAGTCAGGATTCATCAGCGGTTGACAAACAGATCAAATTCGCCGGACTTTACCCCTTTCGTCGGCTGTACAATCCAATTGGGGTCAATACTCACAGAGGGAAATCCTATTATTATAATTGGATATTCATAAAGCGTTTGAGTCTATCTTGGGACTATTTATTTAGGATGTTGGACAAGTTTGGGTTTGGTCCTTATTTCACACGACATTATTGCGGGCCCTATATTCTAATCCGTCAGCTCAAGTTTCTATTCGCGGACATAAATCAGCCTCCCTTTCGATAGAGCGAGGAACTAGACAGGGCTGTCCTCTCTTTCTCCACTATTTGCCTTGGGTATGGAACCACTTGCTATTGCTATCCGCTCTGATCCCGCCATCTTGGGCATCCGCTGCGGTCAGCGGGACCATAAATGTGCCCTATTTGCTGATGATGTCCTTATGTATATATCTAACCCTAGAGCTTCTTTACCTGGTCTCCTCCACCTGTTTCATCGTTTTTCTGAGGCCTCTGGTTTAACGCTTAATTCCTCTAAAACGATTGCTTTAAATAACTCGTTACCTGATTCGGAGGTCCATTACCTCCAGGACAATTTTGACTTCCAGTGGGCCTCTAGTTCTCTCCCCTATTTGGGGCTTCACCTCACGAAATCTATTTCAACATTATATAAGACCAATTATCTCTCGCTCTTCAAACGACTCAAAGCTGACTTACTAGAGTGGCAGAATCTCTCACTCTCCTGGTTTGTTAGAATTAATTCTATTAAAATGACCATTGTATTATTTTAGGACGTTACCGATCATGGTTCCCAAGAGGGAATTGCTATTATTAAAAGCAGCAGTCTCCAGATTTATCTGGAGGGGAAAACGTCGTAGGGTTAACAGGTCAACCTTGTTTTTCCTTAAAAGGAGCATGGCGGTTTGGAATTTCCTAATCTCTTGGCCTATTTTCAGGCGGCACAAATAGCACAGTTATTTTGCACTACGGCCAGGGGGTACGTCCCCTAGTGGGTTGGGATTTAGGCCTCATCTTGTCATCCCTATGCTATTGGTGCTCTCATGTGGGTTCCAAGTCGTTTGCGTCCTACTATTCTGTGTCCTACGTTGTCCTATTCATTGACAGTTTGGGATAGATGGCGAGCTCGCAAACTATTCTTCTCTCCACATACCCCTCTGGCTCCGGTATTTTGCAATCCCGAGTTTATTCCTGGCTTATCACCGTCGGTGCTCCAATGGTGGATGAATAAGGGCTTGCTACGTATCGGAGACTACCTGGATGGGCTTCGTCCTCGTTCCCTTCAGTGCTTTTTGATAAAGTATCAGATGCCTCCTGGGGAATTGTTTCGATACTACAAACTTATCTCTTATCACTAGCAAACTCAAATTACTTTCAGAACCTTGCTCACTCACTCCCTTAGAGGTCTCCTGTGAGGCAACTGGAATGATGAGGGGTCGTTTGTCCATTCTTTACGCTTCCCTTGTTGATCCACTCACGAAATTATCTTATATGACTCAATGGGAGGGGGATTTGAATCGCTCATTGGACCTGGATACTTGGCGGCAGGTGGCACATACTTTATCAAAGATTTCTATCAATACGGTTCTTATCGAATCCAACTATAAAAACACTACTTTGCTGGTATCTGGTTCCTACGCGCCTTGCTAAAATGTACCCTTCTGTATCACCTAGTTGCTTCCGACGCTGTGGACAAGAGGGAACTATGTTCATATCTGGTGGAAATGCCCGGTAGTGAACAGGTTCTGGACCCGAATGTTTAATTTTATCTATTCAGTAACAGGAATTAATATTTGTAGATCTCCGAAAGTGGCGTTATTTGCTACCTGCTGACGTTCCAAAAAAAAAATCAACTAAATTAATTTTATACCTCTTACTGGCGGCAAGCATTACCATAGCTAGAAGTTGGAGACAATCACTGATCCCGCCAGACGGGGTTAAACAAAAACTTAATTGGATAATGATAAACGATAAACTTACAAGCAGTGTCAATAATGATGTCTCTAGATTTGAGGTGACGTGGCAACCGTGGATCAGTTATATTTCTATATCTTAAAAGTACTGCAGCTGACCCTCCCTATCTCCTCTCCCCCGTTGGTATCCCCCCCCCCTTTTTTTTTGTCATTTTGTCTTCTTTCTTCTTAATTCCTTTTTCTCTTCTCTTGAATTGTTTGTATAGTCTTGGTGCATTTCTGTTTTTTTATCTGGGTTCATTGATTATTGGGCAGTTTGCTACGTGGTTGAGATGGTGTTCTTTTTACATATCACCAATGTCTAATAATGTTTTTCTTTCATATGCTTAACTGTTCTATGAATATGATTGTGCACTCCATTTCACCATGTAGGTGGCAATTGCTGCTATATTTTTGTATTCTACTGTATACCAATTTTTCAATGAAAATATTTAAGTATAAATTACCTTGGTGTACTGTTTACTAAAATGTTGTGTTTGACAAACGTAGTTACTATCACTACACGCAAAAAAATATACTTAACAAATGAGCATGCCTCCTTGAATTTACCAGGAGAAAACAATGCAGGGGATAACAGGAGACAAAGAACCACTACAATTCCACAAATAGCCTTGTGTAAAATTAATGAGAATTTATTTTAAACTTACCAGTTCTACATCAGATGGCACATTCAGGCCTTCAGGTGCAATAAAAGGCTCTTCATTATCTTCAACATCGCTTGAATCTAAAAAATTTGCAACAAATTATATATAGCAATTGTTTTATACCACGGTCATATCGGGTGCGACTTGGCATGAGATTTGCATGCAATGCGGCTTGCAAATTGTATGCCAAGTCGCACCCTATTGTCCGCAATTACAGCGGTCAAATCAGTGTGGTTCCTACTTGGTCAGAGCCACATCGATTTCTATTTATTACAGGTACTTATATAGCACCATCAATTTACACAGCGCTTTACATATATATTGTCCCTAACCCTCAAGAAGTGTACAGTCTAAGCTCCCTAACTTACATTCCTACATACACATACTAGGGCCAATTTAGACAGCAGCCAATTAACCTACCAGCATGTCTTTGGAGTGTGTGTGGAAACCAGAGTACCTGGAGGAAACCCATGCAGGCACAGGAAGAACATGCAAACTCCAGGCAGGTGTTGCCCTGGTTGGGATTCGAACCAACAACCCTAGTACTTCCAGGCAGAAGTGCTAACCATTTAGCCACTGTGCTGCTCCATTTCCAAAGTAGTACATGTACTACTTTTGGTGCGATTTGCATAGACATCTGTGTCAGATGTCTTGCAAATCGCACCTGAAATCAGCATCTCTCCCGACTTCGAAATTGTGCGACTTCACTGTAAGTCACATGATTTCAAAGTCGGGCTTGATATGACTGGGATGTTAATAGATAATCTAAAAAAAATTACAAAAATAGTCCATGTTCTTTGAAAATAATAAGGCAAAGACCTCCCTCTCTAACAATTAGCTTTAGGAAAGAAAAAGGAAAGGGAGAAGAAAAAAAAAAAAAAAAAAAGTTACCTTATGCCCAAGAAATGATGATGTCATTGTGCCTCACCAGTGCCTATGTGGAAAGTTAGGTGCTCAAAGTCCCACAAGAATGAATTCCTCCAATGGGCTTGGATTGCAGTCCCGAGGGATTTTGAGCACTCCGTTTTTCCAGGGGAAAAGTGTTCAAGCTGTAGTTGAATTTTTTTAAATTTGTTTTTCTTCACAGCTTTATTTGTAAGGGTTTTCGTTTTTTTTTTTTTTTTGCTAACTCTCCTTGAGTGTGGGGGATATCAAGTAGAAAGGACCTGTTAGACAGGAGCATTGCTAGGATTGTTGAAGACCTGCTGTACCTTTGGACTCCCAAAGGAGGGAAAGTAGGCAGCATGCGCTGCCATGAACTATGGGTGTGATCAAATTGCAATAGATACAGTCAGGATTTCAAAAAGCAATAAAACTGAGAAGTGAGCAAAAGCCATTGACAACCCCGTAACAAGGGCCTTAGAGACCAATGCCCGAATCTAAACAAGAGGAGGAGATGCCCTCTGCAAGACAGGAGGAAGCTGCCATCGATCAAGGAAAGGCCAGGAGACTCAACACAATGCTCAAGACTAGAAGAGAAGATCACCAGCAAACAGAATGAATGACTCAACCCAAAAGGAACACTTAGCCAGAACCAGCAAGAGACTGTAAACCAAAAACCCACCATAGCAGGTGGAGCAAAATAACTACCCAATAAGGAAGAAATCAACCAAACAAAATGTGATGTGGTCAAAAGAAAAAAACCCCCACAACACTGGGACAAGTTCCCAGGAGAACAAGCCCCAGAGGGAAACTTGGGCAAAATAAAAACAGGTTCATAGGAGAAGACCAGCCGGTGAAGGCCCAAGCTTTAAATTCCAATCCAAATTGGGCTCATGAAAGAAAGTTGCCATAAATTATGAGGTTTTCTGGCCAGGCAACTAATCTCACAAACTCAACAAATGTGAGATCATCAGAGCATAATATCCCATAAGAATAGTAAAGTAACCCAGAAGCTGGCAGAGAACAGGTTACCACCATGAAGTCAGCCCAACTGAAAAAGGGTAGGGTGCATGAGATGAAGCCCTGTAAGGGGAGGTAGAAATGAAGGTTATACCACAAATCTACAACAAGACTTTGAGCAAAGAACCATCCACTTTAAAATCTGGAGACATTTCTGATTCCCGACAGAAGATTCTCCAGGACCTGCCCAACCTTGGGCACAAACAAGGTTCTAAGATCTCCAGACCTACCCCTAGTCAAGTGAAGCATCCATAGTCATGGAGCGAGGGAAAGGAACTTTAGCCACAATAAGAACATTATCTTGCTTAAGGGTAGGAAAAGGAAAAGATCTAGAGGATCTTCCTCAAGCAGTTGCAGATCAGCCACATATGATAAAACCCATCTCCAGGTGAGCAAGTCTCACAAAGACCTCCGAACATGCCTGCCATGCAGAAAGTGAGCAGCTCCCAAGTGCACAAACACCTTTCTTCAGTGTAGTGGCCACCACTTAAGGACAGCCAGATGCTAATGCATCATCTCTAAAGGAAGACAGCAAGGATGAGAGTATTACTCTCAGCGTTCGACTAACAAACTGACCAATTATCAGGCCCTTCAGAAGGGTCTCTGCCTGCAAAACGTCCAAAAAGTTGAGTTTGAGGGAAAGCAGTCTGAGCATCCCACAATGGGGATGCCAAGAAAGGGCACTAGGGTATACACCAGGTCCAACGCTCTGAACAGTAACAGGTCTGAGAGTCTATGTGAAAGGTAGGAAACTGCAAGAGATGGTCACAGGCAACTGGTAGATCAAGCAGTCTCTCTGTTCAGGGGGTACCAGGTACCACAAAAGGCTGAACAGTACTCAGAAATATAGGATTCTCCTTTAGAAAGGAGTGGGAGTCTGGATGGGTTATAGCTCCGCAAGCAAAGTCCCCACTTGGAAAGGAAAAATGGTTCCCGAGGTACCAGGAGCCCAGTAAGACCTGCACAGTTATATTGCTTGTGCAATAGCCAAAGAAAAATTGTAAGGAAAAAATTAAGGTGCCAGAAACGGGCTAAAAGTGTCCTGAGCACCAAAATGCCAGGAAGGCAAACGTTGAAGGCTGCTTTTCAGAGGTGTTAGCGGACCCCTAGCTTCAAACCCAAGAGGATGAGTGGGAGTTAAGCTTTAAGAGAGTCTAGGAGTCCCTACAACCAAAAAAGCAGAAAGAGAAAGGAAGGATTCATCACGTGAGGAGACTATGCCCCTTAAAGGTTAATCAGTATACATACTCCTTGGATACAGCATCAGCAACCCAATCACACAATCAGAGTTTTGCATATCTGTACAGAGACACACGTTTAGATGCTTATAACAAGTCATCACAACTAAAGCACAAGGCTCCAGACATTTGCTCTGCCATTCTATGAAGGTGGGAGAATACTCCAGGAATGGAGGGAATCCCAGGGGGAATATACAACCCTATTTCCAAAAAAGTCGTGACGCTGTGTAAAATCTACATAAAAACATAATGCTAGGATTTGCAAAATCTCATAAGCCCATATTTTTTTCACAATAGAATACACAAAACACATTTTTAAAGACAAAAAAAAAAAAAAAAGGCATCTAAGAAGTCAGAGTATCTTAGAAATCAGAATGTCTCAGAAGTGCAGAAGTGATTATGGGCAGAGATTCACCCATCTGTAAAAAGCTGAGTCTAAAAAATGTTGATTAATTTCAGAATATTTTTCCTAAAATTGCAAATACTTTAAAGTTATCAGCATCTACACCACATATCAAAAGTATCAGAAAATCTGCAGAAGTCTCTGTGCACAAGGGACAAGGCAGAAATGCAATATTGGATGCCCGTGATATTCGGGCTCTCAGCCAGCACTGCATGAAAAAAAAAAAAAGGCAGGATTCTGTGTAAAACATCACTGCAAAAACCACTGTCTGAACAAAGTTCACCAATCCATCCAAAATTGCCAGTTAAAATACTATCATGCAAAGGAGGAGACATATTTCAACATAATTCCAAAAAAATGCCACAGTCTTCTCTGCAACAAACCATTTTAAATGAGCTTTGGCCCAAAGTGGAAAACTGTTCTGTGGTCACACTTATCAAAATGTTACATTCTTTTTGGCACCATGTGCACCGTATCCTCCGGACTAAAGAGGGGAGGGACCTTCTGACTTATTTTCTGCACTCAGTTCAAATGTTTACTCTGATGGTATGGGAGTGCATTAGTGATTATGAAATAGGCAGTTTGCACAACTGGAAAGGCACCATCAATACTAAACTGTATCTATGACAACAGCATGTCTTCGTAGTAGAAGAGTCCGGGTGTTTAAATGGTCTGCTTGCACGACAGACCTTTCAGCAATTGAAAATATTTGGCACATCTTGAAACAAAAAATACAACAAAGAGGAACCATGGACTTGTATGGCTTCCATTTTCTATTGTGAATAAAATATTGGATTGAGATTTGCAAATCATTGCATTCTGTTTTATGTAGACTTTACACAGCATCTCAACTTTTTTGGAATTGGGGTTGTACATGTTCTGACATGGTTGGACAGACTAAAGTAACTATCAACACAGGACAGAGTGCCAGACCCTTCATTTCAAGCTGGGATGAAAGGAGGGACACTAGCTGCCTGCCAGTGGAGTCCTGAAGGGTGAGCATACTCTCAGTCTAGTAGTATGGTGTGTCCATGCTGACCACCAATTGACAAAATTCTCTTTCAAAAAGGAAAAAAATAAAAAAAATCTTGTGTGGGGTACAGTACCCTTCTGAACATTTTTATTCCGCATAGAGGATGTCTCACATAACAGGTTTAGTCAAAGCATCTTTGAAGCTATAGGAGCCCTACAAACACCAAAGGCCTAGAACTGCAGGCTGAATTTCCAGAAACAGGTTAGTACATATTGCACCAAAAAGGTTTCAAACAACCCCCTGTAAATCTGAGTTAATTGCAAAGGACACTGGTACTTTTTCAGAGGCAGACTGTTGGAACACTGAATCTGAGTCACAGGTTTTGACAAGGATCACAGGCCCAGCTTGATTTGAAAACTCAGAAAGGACAGACTCTGCAGGGCATGGCACCGGAGCACGCTTAGAGTCTATGTGGGCAAATGCCCCAGTGGCTGATTACAAACAGCTAAAAGAATGCCTAAGTGGACATGGAGGACACATCCTCACCCATTTGAGCCAAGACTG